GACGAGGGGATCCGCTTCCAGGCCATGTAGGGGATCCCGTCAGGTCCAGGCGCCGAGTTGTTGAGCCTGCTGATCAGGTTCTTCATCTTACCCAAAGTGGGGATATCCATGTCCGTGCAACCATACGGAACGATGTGCTTCTCGAGGTAGCGCTTTACGTGCTCGAGGTGGCTTGGCTTCGCCTGAAAGACTGGGGACCACTGCCGACGGAGCTCCTCGATCATGGCAGCAGGCGTCTCCGTGGTGCTGTGGTCGTGCATCACCTCGATAGCCTTGAGCTTGAGGGTTTTGCCCGTTGGGGCCCAGAGCTTGCCACGCTTCTGGGTTGCCTTCCTCATCTTGCGGAGCCGCTGCCGCTGCTTGAAGGGCGTGTCAGCGGCGGACTCCTCCTGCAGCAGGGCCTCAGTGCGCTGATCCTGGTGCGACTTCTGGCGTTGCCCGAAGACGCGGCGAAACGTGCCAGGCTCGATCAGCGCAATGTTGTTCGGGTCATAGATGTCCAAGAACTGGTCACCGAGCTCAGTGCGCGCCTTCGGCGCGCGTGCGCTCTGCCAGTCATTGCGCCAGACCGCCCTCGAGATCGCTCTGCAAGTGGTGAGAGCTGCCGCCGAGCACGGTGCATGCATGTCTGCCAGGTCGTTGCGGGCAAGGCGCGCCGCCTCGCGGATCAGGCGCTTGAGCTCCTGGAGGCGCACAAAGGGCGTGTAGCTGTCCAGGTCGGCATGGCTGACCAGCAGGTCAAAGTACTTGATGAAAAGAGGGTGCTCGAATCTATACTGCGGGATCGGCTGCGACTCGCGATCTTCGCGAGCTCGGGCTGAGAGGCGTAAGTGGACTGGGGCATGATCCGAAATGCCCTTGTCATAGAGCATGTCAGGCGCCATGGGTATGTCGACCTTCGCGCACCATTGTGTCAACAGCCACGGGGGCGAGCTGGTATAGATCTTGTCGATGCGCGCGCACTGCTGGGAGTGCTCAGTGCAGTGCGCGGGGAGCTCGGGGTCCACCCCGACCATGTCGCCCAGCGCCTGCTCCCAGAGAAGCTGATGTTCAGGGTGGGCGTTGCGTAGCCTGGGTAGCCCCTTGTTGACGAGCGGGGCCGTCATCTCCAGCGGGGCCTCATCCATGAAATTGGAGCCGCCCATGGTCATGACTGTGATGCGCTCGGGCTGCTGCTCTGCGACGCTGAGCTCCGCCCTAATCGTGCCCGCCGTGCGCTGGACCTGATCCTGCGCGAGGTGGAAGTTGTGAACGTTGTAGATCACCACTATGGACGGCTGAGCGCCCTCGGGTGCACCAGCGAGATCCGACTTGATTTGGAGACGTTGCACGCGGCCAGGAACAGGTGCGGCGCGACGGAAGCGGCCAGGATCAGCCGCCTCATCTTGCGAGAGCCCAGGAAGTACAATCGCCGCGCCTCCCGTTCCGCGCCCAGGGATGGAGGTGAAAATGGCCGCAGACTTGTGGCCAAGGTGCAGGGCGTGGGCGAGATCCGTCTCAGAGCCGTGCACCTCCTGCATGGCAAGCACCGGCGTGGAGTTGGGCACCTGCAGCACGTGGGTGACCTTCTTCTTGCGCTTGAGCGGGTCCTGGCAGAGGAGCGCTCGCGTGTTCCACGTAGTGAAAGTGATGGCGCCATCAGACTGTGCCCTGCGCCAAGGGGCCAGCGTCTTGTTAAAGCTGCCACTGGACGTTCCTCGCGTCCAAGGGTGTTTGGAAGACCTCTTCGAACTTCGCGCGGACGTCCTCCCTGTTGATGCCGTGCGTGAAGCAGCCCTGGTAGTTGGAGAGTAAGCTGTCGGCTCGTCCTTTGTGGAGCCCACGGAGATGGAGAGGATGGGCAGGTTGTTGCAATACATGATCCCTTGCTGGCGGTCGCCTCGCCAGCGCTTCGTGCCATGTTGGGTCTTGCAGATCTGGGTGGGCTTCTTGGTCTGGAACTCTCGCCTCGCTGTCTTGCCGCTGCGATCGAGGCCGAGGAAGAGACGCGTGCGCTGACCGTGGACGCTGTTGACCATCGTGTTGAGCCATTCGCCGTCAGCGCCCTTGAGCTTGCTGTAGAAAGTGCGGACACGCCGAGCAAAGGCATTCGCGTTGCCACTGAACTGGATGAGGAATCGACGCGCTGGACTCTTGCCCACTGCCTCCCACTCGCCGTCGCCGAACTCGCATCTGTCGATGATGGGCTGGATGCTGGCCTTGAATTTGTCGAGCGTGAAGTTCTCCGCGGCCGTGCCCGCGATGATGCTGGTGTCTGCTGGTCGGCCCCATTCGATGAGATTCTCGTAATCCTTGATGGGGATCTGTGCCTCCTGCATGTATAGCCGCTGTCGCATTTCTGCAATTTGAGCACGCAGTTCTGCTTGTTCGGCCTCGAGCTTCGACGATGTGGCCTGTAGTGACTGGATCTGACCCGTGAACTGCGCGTTCCGTTGTTGCTGCTGTCCGACCACCGCGCCAGGGGGACCCTTGAGCTGGGTTGCGAACTCGCCGATGATCTCTGCTTTGACCGATGCCAACTTCGAGTCGAGCTGAGCTGTGAGGAAGTCCTGCGAGGCTGCGATAGCGGCGTTGACGGCGTCCATGGGGTCCACGAGCTCAGAGGGGGTTGAGGCATTGGAAGCTGAGGCGTTGGAAGCATCAGCACGAGGCCTCTTGGCTCCTTCAGCAGCACCACGGGATAGAGCGGCCGACTCTCTCCAGGGGTCGTGTTGATGGATTGCATCTGGTTGTCGGTCGCCAGCACCACTCGCGCCAGCACCAGCGGGTTGGAGAGGAGCAGAAGGGCGGCCAGCAGCAGCAGCTCCGCTATGAGCCGCCATTCGCGGTGAGCACTGGATGCCTGGGGCGGACCAGGACTTGGAATATGGATGCCAGGGGTGAACCTGGACTTCTTGATATGGATGCCAGGGGCGGACCTGGACTTGGGGCTGGTGCCAGGGGCGGACCTGGACTTGGAAGCAGCTGGAACACTGGGTGGGAGCCTACCCCGCGAAGGCAGTTCTGAGGAAATCGCAACTTGGCCCTTGAGCCAAAATGGTTACGGATGTATACATGTATATATGTATATAAACATACATAAATACATACATACATACATGCATACTGCATACAGTTTCGAGAGAGCGCGCCCACAGGCCCCGAGAAAAGGGGAGGGGGGGGGCTAGGCTGAGCTACCCCCCCCTCCCTTGAGCCGCCCTTGTTGGAAGCACCCCCCCCTCCCATTTCTTTTGCAGGGGGGGGGGGGGCTTACAGCTACCCCCCCCTCCCCCCTTGGGCCCTCGCCAGAAGCTCCCCCCCCCCCCCCCCCTTTCCAAAGGGGGGAGGTGCCTAAGCTACCCCCCCCCCCCCGTCCCTTGGCGCTGCCCTGCTGGAAGCTACCCCCCCCCTCCCCCCTTTCGTGCAAAGGGGGGGGGGGTGGAAGCTCCCCCCCCCCTTTGGCCGCCCCGGAAGCTACCCCCCCCTACCCCCCTTTCCAAAGGGAGGGGGGTGCTTAAGCTACCCCCCCCTCCCTTGGAGCCGCCCTGCTGGAAGCTCCCCCCCCCCTCCCCCCCTTTGTGCCAAAGGGGGGGGGGCTTGGAAGCCCCCCCCCTTCCCCCCTTTGGCCGCCCAGCCCCCGGAGCCTCCGCCCTCCCTTTCGCCGACGATCCAAAATGAACAATCCACGATCGAGGATGGACGATCGACGATCAACGATCGACGATCGAAAATCCCAATCGAATCGCTTGCAATCGATTGCACTCCATTCCACTGCAATCCCCCTCCCCACCTCCCTCCGCTCCCTCCCCTTCCTCCCCACCCTTCGTTCCATCTGGTGGTGGTGGTGGTGGTGGTGGTGGTGGTGGTGGTGGTGGTGGTGGTGGTGGTGGTGGTGGTGGTGGTGGTGGTGGTGGTGGTGGTTGTGTGTGTGTGTGCGTGTGTGCATGTGTGCGCGTGTGCTGTGGCATGGCACGGGAAATGAGGCCAGCGCTGCAGCGGGAGCACGATTCGGAACGAGCGGAAGCACAGAAATGAGGCCAGCGCTGCAGCGGGAGCACGATTCGGAACGAGCGGGGCCCGAAAATGAGGCCGGCGCCTCGGCGAGAGCAGCATTTTGAAAAAAAACGCAGGCGAAAACCCAACTCCCCGGAATCCTGTGTGTAAAAAAACAATACGCGGGGGGGGGTCGAATACTTTCAGGCCGCCATCGGGGGAAGAGGGAGAGTAGTACTCATATTGAGTAATTGTAAATGGAGGCGAAAGGGAGGGCGATGGCTCTGGGAGCTGGGCGGCCAAAGGGGGGAAGGGGGGGGGCTTCAAGCCCCCCCCCCTTTTGCACCAAGGGAGGGAGGGGGGGGCTTCACCCCCCCCCCCTTTCAAAGGGGGGGGTGGCTCACCCCAGCTCCATTAAAAGGACGGATGGGGGGGTAGCTTGGAAGCCCCCCCCCCTTCTCCGGCCACGAAAAGAAGGGGAGAGGGGGGGTAGCTTCCGAAGCCCCCCCCAGGGGGGGTCGCTCACCCCGGCTCAATTAAAAGGAGGGAGGGGGGGGTAGCTTGGAAGCCCCCCCCCCTTTCCGGACCACGAAAAGGGAGGCAGGGGGGGGGGGTCCGAAGCCCCCCCCCCTTTAGCAAGGAAGGGGGGAGGGGGGTAGCTTCAACCTGGGGCCCCCCTTCTAGTCTGTCGGGCCCCACGAGCGCGGTCTATCAGACATACATACATGCATATCTATCGCTACATCTGAACACGGTATGAGTATGGATAAAGATCAAGAGCAACTAGACGGCGCCGTGCGCATGCAAGAGCACACTGCGCCCTCCTCACCACCGATCCTCTCCCAATCCCTGCACTGCCCGGGCCACCCAATCCTCTCCTCCACCCACCATTCCCTCCCCTCGTTGCCTCTTCCGCTGCGCCTGCGCATATGCCTCTCGCGGAGTGCGAACGCTGGTCTTCTCAGACCCTGGCCTGGGCCCAGAGCCACCTCCCCCCCTACCCCCTCTCCCGTCACACGTATGTCCCTTCATTTCCTCATACTTGTCGTCATGTTCCTACTGCTGCTGCTCCTCCCTCCCTCCACCTCCTTCTCCTCATCGTTCTTGCCCGGTGTCACGTCGGTTTCTTTTCGGATGTCCGCCTCGGGCAAGGCGCGGATGAACTCATCCGCGTTCGCCAACGCCGCAGCTCGTTCCACGTCCTCCTCCCCGTACGAGCCGTCGCGGAGGCCGTACGTGATATTTTCCCGGATGCTCAGGCGGAACAGCTGAGTGTCTTGGGACACGATGCCGATGTTGGACCGCAAGCTGTGGAGAGGCATGTCCCTCAGATCGATTCCGTTTAGCGTGACGCTGCCGCCCTGAGGATCGTAGAAACGCATTAGCAGCTTGGCGATTGTTGACTTCCCGCAGCCGCTCTTGCCCACCACCGCAGTGGTCTTGCCAGCGGCGAGAGTGAGGCTAGCGGACTGCAAGACCTTCTTATCAGGCCTGCTCTGGTAAGTGAACTCGACGTGATCAAGCTTGACTTCGATATGCCCGAGTTGTTGACCAAGGGCCGTATCCGCCCCCTGCGTGGATATGTCGGGCTGCAGGTCCAAGACCTCGAAAACGCGCTGACCAGCACTCATAGCCTCTATCAGATACCATAAACTGAGGCGTGTATGACATGCCGAATTCGAATATCCCACCGTCTTACAACAACTACTGTGACTGCTGCTGCTAAGATTACGTCGTAGTGCTACTACAACCGATTATCACTACTACTGATGCGGCTGCTGCGACGGTCACTACTGCTCCACTGGCTACTACTGACCTTGTTGATATGTGTGCGCCGCTTTTTACCCATAACACACTGTGTATGTGTATATGTACGTGTGATTGTGTTGGCGCTTGTGCTTAAGGTTGCCACCCGAACGACTTCCTCAAGCGCGGGCACCACTACGCCAACTATTCCAACTGAGTAAAACTGCGACCGCGGCTACGACAAAGATTGGTACGGAAATAACTTAGTCGACACAACGAGGATGACGAAACGGATGCTACGACGTGTTTGTGACCGTGTCCTCAATGCAATCAATAATGGGAATACTCTGGCTGTTTTTTTCACATATTTCTGGCTATTCATATGTATTAACCATGTGCACCGAATGCGAAGGTTCAGACGTGGCCTTGACCGGCTGATTCAGGTTGTTGTTGAGGCTCTTGAACGCGCTACTCAGGTTGCCCCAGAGAAGGGTGAAAGTAATGATGGTGCCGACTTCGAGGCCGTCGCGGCCCAGTGCTAGGTGTCCTCCGTAGAACAGCACGATGAAGGAAGCGGCCTGCTGCACCAGCCCGCTCAACAGATCGGCCCCGCCCATGCCCCAAGCGCTCCGCAGACCGACCTTCATCGCCTTGCGCGTGTGGAGCTCAAACTGTTCTTGCTCCATCTGCTGCGCCGAAAACGAATGCACAGTGCGGATGTTAGTCAGGGTCTGTGTTGCGGCCCCCTGCGCGTCTGCCAGGTAGGTGTACTGTGTGGCCATCAACCCTGACGCCCACTTGCTGAACTCCGTCGTGATGTGGATCATAGGCGACAAGACGGTGAATGCTAATACTGTAAGTTTCCACGAACGATTGAAACATATCGCGAAACCGATCACAAGGACCACGATATTTGCCAAAAAACTGTTGATGATGATACTGACGGGCGAAACCGCCTGTCTAAGGTCGTTGTTCAACCGGGAATTGAGCTGACCTGTCATCGCGTTATCGTAAAACGCGATATCCTGGTTGATCAAAGCGTGGAATCCGCCGACCCGTTCTGGGTCTGTCGGCGCGTGAGATTTTTCCCCCCCCCATAATCACCCCCCCAGGGACCCCAAACCGGGATTTGACCCCCCTCCCGACCCGGGACGACCCCCCGCGAAACTCACCCGGGGTGTCCGGCCCGCCTCGGGCTCCATTTGGGGCGCCCCGACAGCCCCCGAGGCCTTCCGAAAAACCCCCGGGCCGGTTCAAGAGGGCCCCGACTCGCCGAAATATCGATACCGCTCCAATACGCCCAAGATGGCCTCCTGACGGCCCAAGATGCCTCCAGGATGCCCCAAAAGGCCTCCAACAACCTCCCCGAAAGAGCCCCGATAAGGTAAGATCGTCCCGTTCCCTTCGCAATGCGACAATGTTTTTGCACATTCACCTTTGTGGCTTTCAGTCCGTCCAAGACGGGCCAGCAAGCCTCCACGAGGGTACCACGACGGCCCCCGAAAGCCTCAAGGCGACCAAACAAGCCTCCAAGGCAGCCCCAAACGGCATCAGGACGGCCTACAGAAAGAGCTCCGCAGTGAACCCGAACGGAAATTTCGAACCGTCGGCCGCAAGACGCCCCCACGTTGACCCAAAAAGCACCCAAGAGGCCCCAAGGGGCACCCATGAAACTCCAAGAGAACCCCACAATGCTGGCAGGTGTCCCCCCAGGAGGTTCCCCCCAAATCAAAAAACTGGTTCCAACACGCCCCCGACATGCCGCCGACGACACCCCATCAGCCATCCAAGAGGGCTTCATTCAGACCCACAACTCAATTCGCGGCCCGCGAACTCGCCTCTGGAGGCCTGACCTCAGGCCCGCAAGCCAAATCCTCATTTTTTCTTTTGCTCCTCCTCCTCCTCCTCCTCCTCCGCCTCCTCCTCAATCTCCACATCCCCCTCCTCCTCCGTTCCCCCGTGCGGCCGCGAGCATTCGCGCGCTGCCACATGCGCTTCAGCGGGACTCACGCGCACGAGTTGCATTTCAGGGAGCCCCTCAGGCGCGCACGCTCGAACTCCGGTCCAACGACGAACTGAGATTTCGGGGCAGGTGCCGACGCACTCGCCCGCTTGCTAATTCCGCGCCGCGAAGCCAGAGTCCAAGCAGTCTGGGCATACTACTCCCCTGCCCTTCGTCACATGCTCCGTTTCCTGCGCGCTACTGATGATCCTGCCGCGGAAACTTCATGCTGCACGCCGCGCGCGCCAATTTTCGCTCGAGCCGTCTGGCCGCGTCGGCGACTCGCGGTTATGCCGCGCTTGCTACAGTCCCCGCAGACCACTCTGGATCCTTGCTTCTTCCGATATTCCTCCACTTGGCCGCGGTTCGAATGGCACATTTCCCAAAAAGTCACCCCGCATCCAGGCGCGCAGCACTGCAACGGCTTCGCCTCTGCCTCTGCTTTTCGCTTGCGATTGTTCGACTCGCGCGTCAACTTCTCCCGCATAATCCCAGCCTGGGGTCCCCAAGCCGGGATTCGCCCCCACTTCCCCGAACTCGCCCGGGGGGGCCCCGCCCTCCCCAGGTTCCGTCTGGAGCGCCCAGACAACCCCTGAGGCCTTCCGAGAGGCCCCCGAGACGTTTCAAGAGGGCCCCGACTCGCCGAAATACCGCTCCAAGATGCCCAGGCAGGGTCCACGCCGTAACACAAACCTGACCGGACAAGAACGGGAACCGTCGCTTTTGTCCACTAAGTATGTGAAGTAGTATGCTCTTTTGTTGGTCTGCCGCGCAGATACGTCGTGGCGTGCGTGCGTTTGCGCGCGCGCGAGGAATATGTGCATGTGTGTCCGTGCGCGGTGGTCTGCAGCACTGTTGTGTTATGCCGTGCTGCTGTGTCGTGCTCCTACGGTCTGTGTAAACGTATGTTGCCTCTCTGCGTGTGAGCGCGTGTGTCTGTGCGTGTCTGTGTGTGCGTGTGCGCGTGCGTGTGCCTGCGTGCGTGTGCCCACGTGCGCGTGCCTGTGGGTGCGACTGTGTGGATCGATGTTCTGAGTGTTCTGCCACGCTCCTGCGTGTTCTGCCGTGCTCCTGTGTGTTCTGTCGTGCTCCTGTATTATGCCATGGTCCTGCTCTGCCGTGCAACTATGCGTTCTGCCGTGCTCCTGTGTGTACTGCCGTGCTCCTATGTGTTCTGCCGTGTTGCTGCTTGTTCTGCCGTGCTCCTATGTGTTTTGTGTGATCTGCCGTGCTCCTGTATGTTATGCCAGGTTACTGTGTGTTCTGCCGTGCTTCTATGTATTATGCGTGTTCTGCCGTGATCCTCGTGCTCCTGCGCAATCTGCCGTGCTCCTATGCATTCTGCTGTGATCCTGCGTGTTCGGCCGTCAGCTATGCCGTGCGCCTGTGTGTTCAGCCGTGTTCCTGTGTGTTCTGTCGTGTTCGTGTGTGTTCAGCCGCGGTCCTGCTTGTTCTGCCGTGCTCCTGTGTGTTTTGTTTGGTCTGCCGTGTTCCTGTGTGATCTGCCATGCGACTGTGTGTTCTGCAACGCTCCTGTGTGTTCTGCCGTGCTCTGCCGTGCTCCTCCTGCTCTTGTGTTCTGCCGTCCTCCTGTGTGTTCTGCTGTGCTCCTGTGTTCTGTGGGTTCTGCCGTGCACCCGCGTGTTCTGCCATGCTCCTGTGTGTTCTGCAATGCTTCTATGTATTATGTGTGTTCTGCCGTGCTCCTCGTGCTCCTGTGTGGTATGCCGTGTTCCTGTGTGTTCTGCTGTGCTCCTGTTTGTTCTGCCGTGCTCCCGTGTGTGCTTTGGGTTCTGCCGTGCGCCTGCGTGTTCAGCCGCGTTCCTGTGTCTTCTGCCGCGTTCCTGCGCGTTCTGCCGTGTTTCTGCGTGTTGGGCTGTCGTGATCCTGCCTGTTTTCTGAAGATGTCGCAAGCGAGAAGTTCAGTTTTAGCTCGCATGGTCTTAAATCAGACTTGTCAACAACTCATTATTTCGAGGATGTCTCAGGCGATAGACCCATTTCCATACGCGCGTTACATTCGCCGTGTTCAGTTGCTGGCGGGTGTCGCAGGCGAAACGCTTGTGATGTGAAAAACGGCGTTGCGAACAACTCCTTCTTTCGAGGATGTCCTTAGCGAAATGCGACTTTCGAGAAATCGCGAGGGCGCCCTTGAACTCTGATTGGGCCTCGCTTGGTGTTCTGCCGTGCTCCTGCTTGTTCTGCCATGCTCCTATGTGCTGCTCTGTGTGTTCTGCCGCGCTCCTGCGTGTTCTGCCGCGCTCATGCTTGCTCTCCACCGCGCTCTGCCGCGCTCCTCCTGCTGGTTGGTTGGTGGGGCCTTAAGGCGGGAAGCGAAACAAAGAGAGGAGGGGCCGCGAAGGGGCCGCCCCTCCCGAGGAGGCCGCGTTGGGCCCCCTCCCAGAAAAATCACGGACAGGGCCAGACGGGGCCCACGCCCCCGAAAGGCGCCGAGCCCGAGCAAGCACCGAGGGCCACAAGAGCCTACTCACGACAGGGAGCAGCAATCGTGAGCCACACCGATGCAACCTTCCTCACGCTCGCGGACTTAGCGCCGCAGCGCGCCAGACGGCGGCTCACCCTGCGGCCTTCCAGGGCGTCAGCCGTTGCGCCGGCCGCAGCGGGGAGCTCCTCCTCGGTGATCCAGAAGGCGCCGAGGAGCCCAGCTCTCGCCGTAGTAGGACTCCGATGGGGCTGGCAAGCAGCGGCCGCTGCCGCGGGCGCAGCCGCAGGGGCCTTGCACGGGCTGCCCGCGGCGGCCGCAGACGCAGCGGCGGCCGCTGGAGCGCTGCCCGCGCCGCTCGCAGCGGACAAAGCGCAGACAGCTAGCTCTGCTGCGATGCCGAGCCACTCCAGGCACCGCTCCTGGGCATGCAGCGCTGGGATGCCTTCTCCCTTCGCTCTCCGCCTGCCAGCTCGTGGCCTGCCTCCAGGATGGAGTGCCCGCAGCCACACGCTGCGCTGGCTCCTGCCTGACTTGTCTGTCTTGCCGTCTGGGTGCCGCTCATTGAAGCAAGGCGCAGCCCCCGAGCGGCTTCCCAGCACCGTGCAGGCGCCGCCCTTGGAGCATGCCGCGATCTCCTCCTCGTTGACGTCAGGCGTGCCGATGAGCCCTGCACCCAACGCGGTGAGCTGCTCGGCGTCAAGGCCCGCCGTCGGCGAGTCACGCTTGCGCACCGCCTGCGGCATCTCCAGGCTGAGGGCCTGCAGTGTCCAACATTGGACATCCCAGCATCCGACTCCAGCTCCTGCCCTGGCGCCTTCCTGCTGCCGCCAGGCTTGCCAGTTGGCCTCCAGCTGCCCAGCTGCCAGCAGGCCTGCCACAGGCCCGCCAGCGCCAGGGTCTTCCACCTGCGGGGGCGGCGCGGCTTTGGCAGGCCTGCGGGCGAGCCTGTCGCCCTTATGGACAGCCTCCTTGGCCGCAGCTCTGCTCCAGGACGCCGAGCACTTGCTGCCGTCGCGCCTCTGGGAGCCCGCGAGGCAACGCTGCAGCGCTGCCAGGGCCTCTGGGCGCTCATGCACACCAGCTTGGCCAATGCGGTCGCCCCACTCGCTGTTGCCGTGCTCGTGGGCTTCGACCTCGTCGCCCTCACAGGTTACGGCGGCGGCTGCCTCCACGCCGCCAGATAGGCGCTCCACCCGCCGAAAGCACCAGGCCACGCGCATGGGCTGCAACCGCTGCTTCCCGTCAGCCGTGAGCCCCTGGATCGCGCCGCCGAGGGCCTGGCGAAAGGCGCGGGCGCGGGCCGAGCGCCGGTGGCGGGGCCCTCGCTCGGCCACGGCGCAGAGGGGCCTGAGGCCAACCTTGGGCCCTTCGGACCGAACAGGGTCCCTAGACAGGTCGCCGACGTCGGCGCCGTGGATCCCCACCAAGGCGCCCCCAACGACCTTGACCCACTGGCGAACTGCTTCGTCTAAGGCACTCGGGAGGGAGCCAAGTACCCAGGGCCAACAGCAGGACTCCACCTGCCAGCGAGTGCACCCCACGCGGCGGCGCACCCGGACTGCAGTGCCTTTGCAGGGTCGGCACGCTGCGGCGCTGATATCGGGGAGACGGCCTGGGCCGACCAGCACCTGCACCGCGGCATCTGGTCTCGCATCCAGAGACACCATTCTCTCCTGCAGCGCCCCTGGCTCAGCGCTGAAGTTGCCATGCGTAGACCAAGGCAGGCACGCCGAGAGCACCGTGTCGCCGCAGGCGGTGGATATGCAGAGGTCGACGTCCTTGGGCCCCAGGGCGTCCTGCCGATACAGCGAGCGGGCCAGCTGCTGCAGGCCTGACGTGGCGGAAACCGTCGCTCCAATCACGCGAAGCTTAAGGTCGCGGCGACGCCGCCTGTGCGCATCCGAAGGCTCTCCTTGTCCGTGGGCACCGACGTGTGGAGGAAGGCCGTGTCCCCACAGCGGTCCGTCGCTCCTCTGGCTTCCTCCAGCGGAAAGACGAAGGCCTCGATCGCCCCCACCCATATCCTCCTGATGTTGCCGTCGATTCCGAGCACCTCAAGCCTCCAGCGGACGTCCTGAGCTGGCGTCGCTGCTCGGCCCGGCGTCGGTGGGGCCTGCGCGCTCCCGAGGCCTCGGGGCCGCATGCCGCCGATGCGGACCGCCTCGGCACCACCGTCCGCCTGCTGTCTCGGCCCTGCCGCCCTGGCGAGGCTACGCGCAGGACTGCCCTGGCCTGGCGCCCCCGACGCGGCTCCTAGCGGCTCGGCCAGCAGAGCAAGCAGCAAGAGGGCCCAGGTCAGCAGCTTCGGCTGCCAGCTCCCGCTTGCAGGCCTGGGCGACCTTCGGCCACTCGCCGCGCGCGTCGCCGTGCTGCTCGGCCTGGCCGCGCACTGCGGCGCACTGCGGCTGCCAGGGCCTGCTGCCGCCTGCGTGGTCGCCTTCCTCGCTGCTGAAGTCGCCCATGGGGCAGGACTCAGCCCAGGGCGCTCTCTTCGGGCCTGCGGGGGCCTCTGCGAGCAGCGCGCGCACTGCTTCCACCTGGGCACGGATGGCTGCCCAAGCCACGTCGAAGTTGCTGGAGCCCCAAGCCTCGGGTAGCTTGTCCAACTGCATGAGGAGCCCTGGAACCTGGCTGGCTCCTGCCCATTCGACGGCGCGCTGGCGCTGCTGCGCCTCTGCCTCCTCGCGGGCTGCTTCCTCGAGGGCATGGAGTGCGCGGCTGGCCTCCTCCACCCCTGCGTCGAGCATCGCCAGCTCCTCCTGGGCCTTCTGGAGCTGTGCCTCGGCGATGTTGCGCGCCGCCTGCTTCTGCTCCAGGCCCAGGCGTGCCGCTCGGAGCCGCTTCTGAGCCTTGCCGATGGCGTTCGCCTCCTTGTGGAGCTGAGTCGACAGCGGCAGGGAGGGCGCCTTCTGCTCCGCTGCTGCCCGTTGCGCCTCGAACAGCTCTGCGCGCTTGGCCTCCAGCTGGCCGCCGACGACGTCGGTGAAACAGCTGTCGACCCCGTCGGGCGGCTCGGTGTGCAGCGCCTCCAGCTGCGCGACTGTCGCCTGCAACCTCTCGATCGCCGTGGCACTGCTGCCGCTGGGCGTCTCACTGGCTGCTGACGCCGAGGTCCGCGACTTGGTGGAGGCCGCGCTCGTGGCAGCCCTGCGGGCCTGCCGCTGGGCGCGGCGTCCTCGCGGCTGACCCGCCCATCTCTCGAGCGCGAAAGATACCCGTACCCTTACCCAGACGGGGTGGCAAGGGGCCCTCGGGGCATCACCCCCCCTGGGTCCGGGTCGGCTCCCGAAACCACCATACATACCCGTACCTAGACGGGGTGACCCAACCACCACCCCAGCTAGGTCCGGGTATGTATGGTTGTTTCGGGCACCGACCCGTACCCAGACGAGGTGGCGGCAAGGCTGAAAACGCTCTAGCGGGCGGCCCTTTTCACCCCAGCTGACCCCGGGTCCCGGTATGTTTTGGGCTAATGACCATCCGTCCTTGTCAGCCTGGGGCTTCGCCTTGGCGGCCGCTGACTCCAAAGCCCAGGGCGGCGCAGCGCCCCCACAGCCGAGGCACGCGGTGCGCCATCCCCAGTTCCACTCGCCGCAGCTGCACATCCAGTAAGACATGCTGCGCCTGCTGCCCCCGCCGCAGCCGCGTGGGGAGCGCGCCATGGCCCCTGCCGAGCTGGCCGACTGGTCGCGCCTCTGCACCGTGAATGCTGGGAGCACAACAAAGAAGTGCACTGGCCCAAAGCTAGGAGACCCTCGCGCTCGAAATGCCGCGGACGACTTGCGGTCGTCGGGTTCTCCATGGCCTTGAGCCAAAAATGGCTACGGACCCCTGCTCCTGTGTTCTGCCGTGCTTCTGTGAAGCCTGCCGTGCTCCTGCGTGTTCAATGCGGTCTGCCGTTCTCTTGCGCGTTCTGCCGTGTTCCTGTGCGTTCTGCCGTGCTCCTGTGTTCTGTATGTTCGGCCGTGCACCTCGTGCTCCTGTGCGTTCTGCCGTGCACCTGTGTGTTCTGCTGTGCTCCTGTTTGCTCTGCCGCGCTCCGGTGTGCGCTTTGGGTTCGGCCGTGCTCCTATGTGTTCTGCCGTGCTCCTGTGTGTTCTGCCGTGATCCTGCGCGTTATCCCGTGCTTCTGCGTGTCGGGCTGCCGTCATCCTGCAGATTGTCTGAATTCAGTTTTAACATGTATGGTCTTAAGTCAGCCGTTTCAGCATCTCATTGTTTCGAGACTGTATCAGGCGATATCACCATGTATATACGATTGCTAAATTCGCGGAATTCTTCCGGAGGCAAAATGCAACGTTTTGTGAAAGGCGGTGTTGCGAACAACTCAATTGTTTGAGGATGTCGCAGGCGAAATGGGCACTTTGAGGAATCCCGAGGGTGCTCTTGGAGTCAGATTGGGCCTCGTTTGGGGCTCGTTTGGGGCCGCCCCGATGCATTCAATAATGAAGCCAGTGCGAAGTCACACACATCTGTTCTCTTTTGTTGGAAGATGCCCCTAGCTACATCTTCAGTTTTAGAAGCCTGCCTTGGGCCGTCTGGAAACCTTTTCTAGAGCGATCCCAAGACGGTGTTAAAAACAGCAGGTTTAAAAACAATGCTGTCATATGTTTTCATCGTTTGAGGATGTCTCTAGCGAAATCGTCATTCTTGGAGCCATAGCGACGTCCTTTTGGGGTTAACACTTCTTCTCTTGAGGCGCTTCGAGACATATGCCAAGACGATGTTGATGACGCTTCATTGTTTTCGGATGTCCCCGGCGAGATGCACATTTTCTCCCGTGCTCTTGTTTCTGGTCCGCCGTGCTGCCGCTCATTGTCTGAGGACATCCCTAACGAAAACCTAAGTTTTCAACATAAGAGGTAGTAATACACCTCCGTCGACACCTGATTTCCGCCGGGAATTTCTCTTTCGAACCGCAAAGTTTTACAGATCAGCGAAATTCGCTGATCTCATATGTCTGAGGATGTCTCGAGCGGAACGCTTGTTTCTGTTAAGCGCGATGTCGCGGAGATGCAATGTGTGTGAGGATGTCTGAAGCGAAATCGCTATGTTTAGGAACCTAGGTATGTGAAGTATGTTATTTTGTTGGTCTGCCGCGCAGATATGTCGTGGCGTGCGTGCGTTTGCGCGCGCTTGCGCGCGTGGAATATGTGCATGTGTGTCCGTGCGTGGTGGTCTGCGGCATTGCTATGTTATGCCGTGCTGCTCTGCCGTGATCCTGCGGTCTGCATGAACGTGTGTTGCCTCTGTGTGTGTGCGTGTGTGCGTGCGTGCGTGTGCGTGCGTGCGTGTGCGTAGGTGTCTGTGTGTGTGCGTGTGCGTGTGCGTGTGCGTGTGCGTGTGCCTGTGTGCGTGTGCCTACGTGCGTGTGCCTGTGGATGCGGCTGTGTGAATAGATGCTCTGTGTGTTCTGCCGTGCCCCTGCGTGTTCTGCCGTGCTCCTGTGTTCTGTCGTGCTCCTGCGTATTATTCCATGGTCCTTCTCTGCCGTGCCCCTGTGTTCTGGTTCCTGAATGTTCTGCCGTGCTGCTGCTAGATCGGCCATGCTCCTATGTGTTTTGTGTGATTTGCCGCGCTCCTGTGTGTTCTGCCATGCTCCTGTGTGTTCTGCCGTGCTCCTATGTACTCTGCGTGTTCTGCCGTGCTCCTAGTGATTCCGCGCAATCTGCAAGGCTCGTTTGTGTTTTGCGTGCTCCTGCGTGTTCTGCCGTCAATTCTGCCGTGCACCTGTGTTTGTGTGTGTGTGTGTGCTGCACTGCTCCTGTGTGTTCAACCGGTCTCCTGTGTGTTCAGCCGCGCTCCTGATTGTTCTGCCATGCTCCTATGTGTGTTGTGTGTTCAGCCGTGCTCCTGCGCGTTCTGCCGCGCTCCTGCTTGTTCTGCCGTGCTCTGCCGTGTTCCTCATGCTCCTGTGTTCTGCCGCGCTCCACTGCGTTATGCCGTGCCCCTGTGTGTTCTGCCATGCCCCTGTGCGCGCTGCATGTAAAAGTTAAAGACGGGGCCTTCAAGGCGAAGGGGGGATGAGGAAAAGGGGCCGAGGGGCCTCCAGGGGCACCGAGCGCCACCCGAGACACGCCACCCCGAGAGGGGCCGCCTAGGGCCGCCTCCCCCCGCGGGGGCCGCACTGGGCCCCCACCGCGGCCGCGCCGCAAGGTGTGAACAGATCTACATACAGAATGCAACTGCCCGCCTCACGCACTATTCTTGGGCCGCGCCGCGCAACGCGCACGGACCAAGAGACCGTCGAGGAGCCGCGCGCGCTCCTCGGCATCTGGGCAACCTGCACTGCCGAGGCGGACGCTGAGGGCGCGGGCCTCGGCCCAGTCCAGGAGTGACTCAACCCCCGACTTCGGCCCCTGGGCCGCGCGCGCCACCGCCGCCACCGAGAAGTCGCCCAGGAAAGAAACGAAACCGCACTCCGAGCCCGAGTGGCCATCGCCCGCGGTGCAGCCGACGGAGTCCGCGACCAGGGGCTCCATGCCGACGGCGTGCTCGATGGCCGAGCCTCCCACGGGCTCCTCCACGATGTCGTCGCTGACGACGCAGCAACCGCCCAGGTGCGGCGCGACGTCGTCGGCGTACTCGACGGGCCCACGCGTAGACGGCCTCGAAGAGCCAGCATCGCTGGCATCAGCCATGCCGTCCACGCTGGCACGACCGCCAGCATCACGCTCTGCGCGAGCATGTCCCAAGTCGGGAGGCAGCGGCGCACGGCCTGCCCTGTCCGCAAGAGCCAGGGGCCCGCAGCCCAACGCCTCGACCACCGACTCGGCGGTCGCCACGCAGCTCCGCAGGCTGAGGGGGACGTACGGCGCGGCCCCGCCCCGCAGCGGCGTGCGCCGCGACCGGCGCGGCAGGGCGCCTGACCGCCAGCGCGCCCGTGGCCCCGCGGGGGGGCAGGGCTCCGCGGCGGGCTCGGCGACGCAGACCTCGACAGCGACGTCGCTCTCCCACGCCGCGTCGAAGCTCTCCAGCTCGTCCTGCCCCGTCTTGCCCCCGAGCTCCGCCGCCAGGCTCCGCTCGAAGGCAGAAAGGCCCGAGCCGTCGTCGCCCTCGCCGTCGCCAATGCTCGGCGCGGGCGAAACCTGCGCAGCCCCTGCAGCCAACTGCGCCTCGAGGTCGATCGCCAGGATCGCACCGCGAGGAAGCAGCTGCGTCGCCTCGGGCACGGGCCGCAGCCGCGCCTGCCCAGGCGGCGGGGCGCGCCGCGCCCAGTTCCCCAAGGCGAGGTCCTCCAGCGAAGACCTGCGCGGCCGCGATCGTCTCTCCGAACTTGGGGGCGCGGGCGCCCACGCGGTCGGCGAGCCGCCAGTGAGCCTCCAGGGAACGGCGGAGGGCGGCCAAACGCCACGCCAGCGCCGCCGCCCGCGACTCCCCGATGGCACGCCGATGCTCCCGCCGCAGCCGCCGCGCAAGCGTGCGGGCGGAGGCTGCCGCCCAGGCTGCCCCGCACCCAGAATGCCCCGTGGCCGCTAGCGAGCGCGCGCGCCCGAGGGCCTGCCGCCAGCCAGGCTCGCTTGAGCCAAAATGGCTACGGATGTGTGTTCTTTATGTTATGCCATGCACCTGCGTGTTCTGCCGTGCTCCGGTGTGTTCTGCAATGCTCCTATATGTTATGTGTGCTCTGCCGTGATCTTCATGCTCCTGTGTGTTCTGCTGTGCTCCTGTTTGTTCTGCCGTGCTCCCGTGTGTTTTGCCGTGCTCCTGTGTTTTCTGCCGTGCCCCTGCTTGTTCTGCCGTGCTTCTGCGTGCTGGGCTGCCGTGATCCTGCCCATTTTCTGCAGATGTCTCAAGCGAAAAACTTAGTTTTTACATGCAGAGTCGTACATCAATCTTTTCCACATCTCATGGTTTCGAGGATGTCTCAGGCGATATCCCCATGTCCGTGCGTTTGTTGAATTCGCGACGTTCATTTTCTGGTGGATGTCTCAGGCGAAACGCTTGTTTTCGTAAAGACGATGTCGCGAACCATACATTATGGTGAGGATGTTTCAAGCAAAATGCTAAGTTTGAGGCATATCGAAGGCGATATTGGGATCAGATTGGGCCTCGCTTGGGGCTCTTTCGGGGCCGTTTCGACGCCATCGAAAACGATGCCAATGCGAAACCACGCACGTATATTGTTTGATGACGTCTCCAGCGAAATCGTCACTTTTAGAAGCCTTGGCTTGGGCAGTCCGGAAGCCTTCTCAAAAACAACCCCACTACGATGTTAGAACAACAGTTCTCAAGACGATGATGTGGTACATTTTTCATGTTTCGAGACTGTCCTTAGTGAGTTTGTCACTTTTTGCAGTCATCAGGGCGCTCTTGGATTCAGATCGAAGTCTTTCTCGGGCTCTCATGTCTTCATACTGAAGCACTTGAAGAACGATGCCAATACGACGTTCATCACATATCATTGTTTGAGGATGTCCCCAGCGAGATGCAATTGTTCAGCCGTGCTCATTTTTTCTGGTCCGCCGTGCCGCCGCTCATTTTCTTAGGACGTCCCTAGCGAAAACGTAGATCTTCAACGCAAGAGGTAATACTACACCTCCGTCGGCACCTCATTTTCGCTAGGATGTCTCAGGCGAAACGCAAATTTTACAGATTACTGAATTTCGCGGCGATCAGCTTTTCGAGGATATCTAGAGCGAAACTTTTGTTTCTATTAAGCGCGATGTCGCGGAGATCTCATGTTTGCGAGGTTGGCTCAGGCGAAACCTGGCCGGACAAGAACGGGAAGCGTCAGATTGTCCACTGGGCTGGTGCTACTGCGGTCTGCGTGAACGCATGTTGCCTCTCGGTGCGTGCGCGGGCGCGCGTGTGTGTGCGTGCGCGCGATGGTGCGCGCGCGTGCGTGTGCGTGTGGGCGTGCCTGCGCGCGTGTGTTTGGGTGCGCGGTTGTCTGCGCGTGCGCGTTCCGTGTGTTCTGCCGTGCTCCTGCGCCTTTTGCCGTGCTCCTGTGAATTCTGCCGTGCTCCTGTGTGGTCTGCTGTGTTCCTCTGTGTTCTGCTGTGCTCCTGCTTGTTTGGCCGTGCTCTTGTGTGGTTTGCCGTTCTCCTGTGTGTTCTGCCGCACTGCTGGGTGTTCTGCGATTTCTGCCGTGCTCCTGCATACTACCGTGATCCTGTGTGATCTGCCAAGCTCCTGCGTGTTCTGCCGTGCTCCTGTGTCCTGCCAAGCTCGCGTTTGTTTTGCAATGCTCCTGTGTGTTTTGCCGTGTTCCTGTGTGTTTTGCCGCACTCCTGTGTGCTCTGTGTTCTGCACTGCTCCTGCGTGTTCTGCCGTGCCTTCATGTGCTGCCGTGTTCCCGGGTGGTCCGCATGCTCTGCCGTGCTCATGCGTGTTTCTTTCGTGATCCTGGGCGTTTGCCGTGATCTTAATGTATTATGCACGTTCCGCAGTGTTCCTGCGCGTTCTGTTTGCCTCGCTCTGATGTTCTGCCATGCTCCTGCGCGTTGTGCGAGTTCTGCCGTGCTCCTGCGCGTTGCGCCGTGCCCCTGCGCTTTCAGCCATACTCCTGCGCGTTGCGCTGTGCTCCTGCGTGTTCCGCGCTTTTTGCCGCGCCCCCATGTCTTCTGTGGTGTTGTTGTGTATTCTGCCGTGCGCCTGCGCGCCCTCGCGCGTTCTGCCGTGCCGCTACTTGTTTTGCCGTGCCTCTCTATCCTCGGCCGCGCTCTTGCGTGGTATGCCGTCCACCACTGCGTTCTGTCGGGTTCCTGTGCGCCCCATGTGGTTTGCCGTGCTCCCGTGGCTGCTCCTGCTCCCAAGTGCGTTCTGCCGCGTTCCTGCGCGCATCCTGCCGCGTTCCCGTGCGACGTGCGTATTCAATGACTTATGCCGTGCACATGCGTGTTCTTGTTGCCCCGCGCGTGCTGCCGTGTTCCTTTGCGTTCGGCCGTGCTCCAATGATCTGCCGCCTGAATGCATCATCAATTTTCCTGAAAGCCAGCGTCATCACTTCTCTACTAATCGACGCCCCCGCGTCGTTGCGAACCAGACTGCTACGCGTCGCGGACGAAAACGACTTGCTTGACAATCGACTCTCTGCACCTGCCTCGCTGCGAGGGCACGGCGATTCGACTCCTGCGCCCCAATTTTCAAGGAAGTGCGGAGAGGTCCGGGAGCCCGGCGCGTTCCGCGGGAAAAACAGCGCGCAGGTACTGCGAACGCATGCGGCGAGGAGCTGGCTGCGACGCGCGTTGCAGCAGCGCGCAGCGCATGGCGCAACCTACCTGAAGCGGCTCACCAGATTGTCGCCATGCCAGATCGGCGTTAATTAGCACGGCGATTTGCCGCTGCCCATTGGTCCCGCGGCATTTGCGGGACCTCGGCAGCAGGCCACCGCGCGTCGCCCAGCGCGCGCGCAGCGCGGAAGTGGGCGGGCCCGTCCCACCACAGTGCGACCCAGCGAGGATAAGCACCACGCTGGCTGCAAATATCACACAGGCGCGTGTCAGAGACTGCTGGCAGCTGGCCACGGAAGAAAAGGACCCCGATATCGAAGGCGTCGCTCAGGCTGTGCACGTCTGTCTGAGTGCCCCAATGGGCTTTGCCAGGCCGGCTGTGGATGCCAGCGAGCTCGCTCCGCAATTCTCGCGGCCGCGGCAGCCATCTCTGGCCATCGCAATAGGGTCGCGTCTACTACCTCCTCGATGCGCCACCGTCTGGCGCAGTTGCGCAGTGGCGTCGCCAGTCAGCTCGGCCCAGGAGCGCGTTTGTTTATGTTCGGCGATGACGGGCGTCATGGGGGGGGGGGGGGGGGGAGGGCGGGGGGGGCATGACGTGACGCCTCCCCCCGCCGCGCGGCTCCGGCACCACAGCCGCGCCCGCGCGCGCGACGCGACGAGCGACGAGCGACGAGCGACGAGCGACGACGACGACGCGAGCAGCATGTAAGTGGCGATCTGCCCATTGCGCCTGCGTGCACCACAGCGCTCGCGCGCACCGCACCGCGCGCGTGCACCGCAGCGCCTGCGTACACCGCAACAGCCGCGTGCAACGCACCGCCCGCGTATACCACAATACTTGGGAGCACGACAGCGCCGGTGTACATACACCGCAGCAGCCACGTGCAACGCAACGCCTGTGTACACCACAGTGATTGCGTGCGCCGCAGCGCCCGTGCACGCCACAGCGCCTTTCTACACCGCAGCATTCGCATGCAACGCAGCGCTGGCGCACGCCACAGTGCCTGCGTGCATAAGACAGGTAGAAGGAGCATGTACGTCACGATCTGCTGCGGACAACTAAGCGCCACGCCAGGAAACTTCTGATAATCGAATGCGACGTTTTTCCCTCCTCCCTCCACCTCCTCCTCCTCCTCCTCCTCCTCCTCCTCCTTTTCCTCCTTCTTGCCCCCTGTCGTGCGGTTTGGCGCGGCAACGCACGTGCGCATCTCACCGTGCACCGCAGAATGGTCAATTGAATCGGTCCACTTGGTTCTCGGACGGCCAGTTTAGCTGGAGCCTCCTGGACGCAAATTGGAGTTAGGGTGATGCGGGCGGACTCGGGGGGACTCGTAGATTCCAGCGGCGCTCTTGTGTCCATGAGGATTTGAATTCCATTGTTTTCTCTGGAATCGACGCGCGCTCCATCTTGTCACAAGGATTCCTTCTGAAATTCTATACGCAACAATGGCGCTGCGTTGCGCGCGGCTGATGTGGTGCACACAAGCGCCGCGGCGTACACAGGCACTGCAATGCACGCAGGCATTGTGGTGTACACTGGTGCTGCGTCGCGCACGGCTGATGAGGTGCGCGGAAGCGCCGCGGTGTACACAGGAGCTGCTGTGCCCACAGGCACGGTGGCACAAACTGACGCTGTGTTGCACGCGGCTGCTGTGGTGTACATCGGCGGTGTGGTGTACACAGGCGCTGTGGTGCACGCGGGCACTGTGATGTACACAGGTGTTGTGGTGCATATCGCCACCTACATGTTCGCGCTACCCGTCCTCCGTCATTTCTAAGCATTCCCGGACGCCGCCGGCGCGAAACGTGACGTCATCGACCCCCCCCCCAGATGATTGCCGTCATCGGCCCGGACTTAAAAACGGGCTCCAGCCGCGTCCGCGCGCACGACGACGATGAGCGACGAGCGACGAACCACGAGCGACGACGACGACGGACGACGACGACGACGACGACGACGACGACGACGCCTGCGGACCAGACACTTATGCGGATTCCCACGCGGACACCTACGCGGATCCCAATGCGCCGCACGGCGGCAGCGCCCGGAGCGCACTGGGGGGGGGGCGTTACGTCGTAGGAGGGGAGGGGGAGCGGGGGCCATGACGCCCGTTATGTCCCAAGCGATAAAGAAACAGGCTCCAGAACGCGACGGCGGCGTCCGCGTGCTCGAGATTGCCGAAGCCGCGCCGCCGAAGGGCTCGGAGCAGGCCCCAGTGACCGGGGAAATCGTCAATATTGCCGCTGTCTAAAAATAGCTCGTAAAGCGCGACGGTCGTCCACGCGCAATCCAGCGCGTCCCCGGGTCCCCAGAGGTAGAACCGAGACTTCCCCAGCAATGCAAGGCAATGGCGAACAGAAAACATTTCGATATAGGTTTTAGATCGGTTCAAAAGTAGGTTCGGGAGATAGGTTCGCAAGCATAGTAGGTCCCAGGAAGAAGGTGCAACGCGCGGGGAAAACGTGTCATCGGGCAGATAGCCTCCCGTTACTGGGTTTGCCAAAGCGCGTCGGCGCAAATGCCGCGGGCAGCTAAGTTGGCGAAGCGAATTCGCCAAACTAGCCCTGGCGAGTGCACCCGGGGACGTTCCCTGGCCGCGGTAACCTCGCCAAGAAGGTTTGCAATGAAAAACGGCGTCAGGGCTGCATTTCAGGCAGGGGCCGCGACACGTTTCGCGCGATGCACCCTCGGGCACTAAACATAGAAAATTAACGAGAGCGGCTGCGGAGAAGACCTCCGAAAACACGACCCGCCAGAAAAGCAGTCACGACGATGGGCGACCCAAAAATCAATTGGGGCAGCCCCGGCAACTGGCACGGCGAACAACGCAACTCAAGGAATCCCGGACAAGCCGGGCCGCCACCAACAATCACCCCGTACCAATACCGTGCCCCGGCGGGGTTCGGACACGCCATGGCTCCTCCTCATTATCACGGCCGCCCCGCCCAAGGTCATTCTGCCCTCCCCAAAGCCACTCGTTATCAATCACATCATGCTTCCCATCATCGCCCCCCTTGCCTCACCATCCTCCCCCTCGTCAGCCGCAGCATCCACGTTCTCATCCTCCTGCCCCCGATCCTCCCCGCCCTCCCCGCCCCCCCCTCCTCCTCCTCCTCCTCCTCCTCCCCCCCCTCCTCCTCCTCCCCCTCATATTCCCCATCTTGTTCCTACCTTTTCCCCCTCATCCCCCCTTCATCCGCCCCTCATCCTCCGCCCGATCCTCCGGGTCCTCTTGGTCCTCCTCCTCCTACTCCTCTCTCCTGTTCCTCCTTCCTCCTGGCCCTCCGTTTCCTCGACCTGGCTCTCCTCCTCCTCCTCCTCTTCTTCCTCCTCCACATCCTCCTCCCGGCTCTCCTCATCCACCTCCTCCTCCTCCTCCTCTCCCATTCCTCTTCCTCCTCCTCCTCCTCCCCCACATTCTCCTCCACCTCCTCCTCCTCCTACCTTCAATCCCTGACCTTCCATGCTTCCGAAAACAGTTTGAAGTAGGTTTGAAATAGGTTTGAAGTAGGTTTGAAGTAGGTTCGAAGTAGGTTTGAAGTAGGTTTGAAGTAGGTTTGAAGTAGGTTTGAAGTAGGTTTGAAGTAGGTTTGAAGTAGGTTTGAAACCTACTTTGAGGCCTCCGAAACCTACTTTGAGGCTCCTAAAACCTATTTTGAAGCCTCCGAAACCTACTTTGCGCTACCGAAAACCTACTTTTGGAATCCGGAAACCTTCTTTGGAACCTACTTTGCAAAAACAAATTCTGCAAACCTACTTTCCGACCTACTTTGGGGGCGCGGTTCCTTGAAACATCAGCACACGCTTGCCCGAGCCTTTCCCAGAAGTCGCCCCCGGGGGCGGCGCGCCAAAAAAGGAATCTGCGAAGTACCCCCAGAAGGTGAGCAAACCCAAAACACTTGTAGGTTGCCCCCGACAGGCGGGAGCCCCCCAAAGGGGGCGGTCTCCCCCCCCCCCCGAGGGTCGAGGATCGAGCGCGATTTCGCTGTCGGGCGACAAGCGAACGTACCGCGACAGGACAGGGCCTTTTGGCAGCCCCCCCGCTGGCGGGCAGGGGGCCGCCGCCTGGCGCCCTAGGTTCTTCAGAAACCAAACCTGATGCGGCCGCCCCCCGCCCCCCGGGGCCCCTCCGGGCCCGGCCCGACGGAGGCGCCACTCCCCTTCCGTTTCTCTTTCCTCCTCCCACCTCTCTCCACCTCCTCTCCTCTTCCACGCGCCCTCATTATTCCAGCCTCCCTCCACCTCCTCCCCCCGGAAACGCCACCTCCCCCCTACCCGCCTTCTGGAGCCCCCCACCCTCCCGTTTCTGACCTTCTTAACCTTCCTGGTCCTCCCTCTCGCCCCCCCCCCCTCCCCCTTGCTCGGGCCCGCGGCCCTCGCCCCGCCCTCCATGCCCCACTTCCCGCTGTGGTCAGACCAAGGGGGAAACGCAATGCCCCCAGATCTCAGGACGGAGGTGGTTTAGAGCGCTTCCTGTTCCAACAACCCCCAGTCTTCCCTTCGGGGATGGATGCGCCCCTCCCCCCCCCTCCTTCCGGGGCCTGCAATGGGGGGCGGCGGATCGGTGGAGCGCCCGGGACGGTCAAAGATAGAGCCGGCATGACCTCGCAGAATGCAACGCGGTCTCACAGATGGTTCAAGATAGCCCAAGATGGATCAACATTGTTTCCCGCATGCTCCAAGAAACCCAAATACCGCTCCGAGACCGCCCCAAGCGGCCGCGGAGCCACCCAATAACACCCCCGAGAAGCCGAAATCTTTCCAAATCGTACGAGACACGAATGAATTGGGCCTTTTGGTCCATGCGCTTCCGAAGACTTTGGAAGCCTGAAGATAAGCCCCGAAGGAGTCCAGAAGAACCCAAGACAGCGCACTTCACGAATTACTCGGCTGGCTTGCTAGCAGAAGCCGCGCCTTGCCGGCGGCATTCCAGCATTTCCCCGAGAAGCTTGTTTGGAAAATATCATTACTGACCCGATCCCGACAAGTTACTTTTGATATTGTGTTCCCGACAACCTTTCCTGGAAAGCTACTTTTGCACATGAATGTCGCATTCCTTTCCCCTGAAAGTTTCTCGCGGCAATCGGTTTCGCCATCCTTTCCCTTCGAGTTACCTGCGCCGACCACTGTTGCCAGGCGCGCTGCAGACCTACTTCGCCGACCTACTTCAGGAGCTACTCTAAACCTACTTCATTTGTTTTGCGCCTCAAGCAAGCCCTGCATTCAAAGGGAAGTCTCGGAGGTAGAAGACGCTGGCGGACAGGATCTGGGGCTTCCGCGCCACGGCGGCCTGGCCGCCCACAAAGACATCCGACGGCGCGCGCCGGGGCGCGCGCCGCGCCAGGGCGTCTCCCCTGAGCGCCGCGCGCGCAAGGGTGCCACCGAGGCTGTGAAGGGGCAATCAATCGCCGCCGCCGCCGAACTCTACGCTACGGGCACATGATGGCGCAGTCGTTGCAGACGGCGTCAAGCTGGACACATGCCCCGTCAATGTCTGAGACACCTCCCGCATCGCTCCCGCTGCCTACTGGGGCCTAGACCCAGCGTCGCTGGCGGCGGACAAGAGATAGAACGCGCGCGAAAGAGACGCCGGGGCGCAGCCGAGTTGGCGACATTCGGAGCGCGACGTCAGCAGCGCTGGCGACGGCGGCGCAGGCGCTGTAACTGCAGTGCACGCTGGCCTCTGCGCGGGCGCTGCGTCGCTCGAGGACGCCGGTTCGTTGTCTCCCGCATTCCTCGGCGGAGATGGAAGCCCCGCGGATGCCGCTGAATTCCCCAGAGTGCGCAAAGCAGCCCGGCGAGACTTCTCTCACGCTGTTCGCAGCTGGTGACAACGAATCTCGCCGAAGCACGCGACGGCAACACTCGCGCTGGACCCGGGGCGCCCACGTGACTCGCGCTTCATCGGAGCACCGGCGTCGGCGTCAACGCCTCGCTCCCGCTCAGCTTCCCGACGCGCCTCGGCAGCGTCGCTGCCTGACTTGATGCGTCGCCATTATCAGTTGATGCTGCGCTCTACTCTACGGCAGCGTGCCTGCAGTGACGCCTGGGGCGACGGGCGCCATCGGATCTGCGGACGTAGCGGCCGTCACGGGCGCGCCGTTGCCTGCGGATGCTGGCGGCAGCGGGCTGGGAAAGACGCGGGTTTCTGCGTCTGGCACGCGCGTGGGCGGGCCAATCCGCGCGCGTTTGGAAGGTCTCTCAGATGCGCACCCGCGTTCCGCGAGCGGCGTCTGGCTGTCAAGTCGGAATCTCTTGGCGCTTGGCTGGCTCTCGCCAGTGCCAATAGCGGTCCTGTGGAGGCGTCTCCGGGAAGGTTGCGCCCCCGCGACTGAATCCGCGGGCCCGTCGACTCCTGCGCGCGCGACGGGAGCTGCCGCGAACAGCTCCGGGCAGGCCCTGTCCGCAGGAATGTGTATGTCAGTCTCGTCGGGCCGTTCCAGAACGACCGGTGCCCGCGCGACCCCGATGATCGTGAATGCGGGGATGTAGATAACAAGCAACGAAACAACGCTCGTATCTCAGAGAATCGACAACTTCCCATGTAAGCGGAAGTCCCTGAATCCTCTTGGTCCTTCAGCATGCCCAGCTCTCGCAGAAGAAAATCGGGCGACGGCCTTTCGAACTCGCTCCACTTCGCGGCGCGAAGAATAAGCATACCGTCCAACGATCTGGGTCTAACAGGCAAGCCAGTGCGTATCTACGTCCATGTTCAACGGCCTCTTCATGTCCACTATGACCGCATCGACCGCGCCGCCCTGCGCGCCGTAGACGATGATGGTGTCGGCAGGGAGAACCTGGTAAGTGGTTCGCCGCACGCTGAAGGCCTCATCCTCCCAAGTTGCGGTCAGCTAAACATACGTCGGACGCAGCTGAAATAATCTCTTGCGGTCCGTCGTGATCGGCATGACGTTGGGGAAATGCGATTCGTCTAAGGTCCATGACGCATCCGGCGCTTGTAGCCACAACGACACCGGCATGTACCGCAAGTGGACCACACCTTCGCCCGCACTCGGCCTCGTGAGCGTCTCGCTGTCCGAGAAGACGATGCGCTGAACTGTGCACACGTATCTTTTCATGATGCCAAGGCGCCAGCAGTCCTGACCAGGTCCGAAAACAACGCGAGGCGCACAACCGACTAGCCTCACGAAGACCGACAATGAGAGCCACGACGAGGAGCACGGCACACAAGAGACCTGAGAGCGCCTTGAAGACGGCCGCAACAAACGCCGCGGTCCTGACCACACTCTGAGAATGTCTCAGTCGAAAAGCTCATGATTCACATAAACGGTCTTAAACGAACTTTGGGAACATCTCAATTTTCGACGATGTCTGAAGCGAAAGCTCAAATCCTTAATGCGCCATGCTCCTGCGTGGACTGCCGTACTCCTGTTCCTGTGCGTTCTGCCGTGCTCCTGTGTTCTGCCGTGTTCCTGTGGGTTGGTGTTCTGCCGTGCTCCTGAGCTTTGTGCCGTGCTCATGTGCGTTCTGCCATGCTCCTGATGTTCTGCCGTGTTTTCATGTTCTGCGTGATCTGCCGTGCTCCTGCATGCGAGTCCGGCCGTGCCCCCCAAGCCGAGGCAAACGCGGCACGGGAGTCCCGAAAACTCCCCGACGATCCAAGTAGGCCCCACGACGCACCCAAGACAGTCAAGGACTGATCCGAGTAGCTCAAATCGACTTCCAAGACGCCCAAGATAACCCGCAGCCGCACTCAAAACGGCCCCAGGAAACCTCCAAAGATGGCCCCCAAAACATCATCCAACTCCTGTGAGAAAACATAAACATGTAGGAGATCCAACTCTTCAGGCTCCACGGCGTTGAGAGCCGATCCAGAGACCCCCGAGGGCATGGGGAACGATCTCACGTCTAAGGGGTCGGCGGATGTGGCGCAAGCCTAGAGAACAACTTAATCGACATATCGCAATACAACCTCGTCTGCATTGTTTGCACAACCACGGTCATCGCATAACCCATCACTGCAGAAGCGAACACCAAGACCGCGAACACCAGCACTCGTTCGTCGAACTTACCCTCATCACCGTTCACGAGAGCGGTTATGCAGTCACCCTGGGCACTGGGAATATATGTGTTCAAGAACTGGCTACCGCAGACAACAAATAGCGAGACAAAACCAGCCGCGGGCGGGATCATTGTCATGAGGCGACGGATGTACTGGACAACGGTCAATTTCTGAGCGACCTTCGGGCCCCTGTCACCCCTCAATATTCCAACGCCGGCCGCCGAGCTTGAATCTCCGACCTTTATAGAATGCTTCCGGTAACATCGCATACAAATCTGAAAACCGCCGAAGCCGTACCTTCCCGGCTCACAGTTTCGGCACTGCAGGCACACGAACCCACCAGTTTTCATTCCTAGCTTCTCGTTGCAGGATGAACACATTGTGTATCCCTTCCCTTCCATGTTTGTCCAATAGAGGGCATGCTCGTGCACACCAGCCAGAACGACCTTGTCACCAGCTGTGAGCTCCATGACCATGGCCTTCGACAGCAAGAACTCTGCATTCATCATGAAGAGGCTGGCGAGCAATGACAATATAAGCAACAACCCTTCAAAATTTGACGCGTCCAACCCCACGACAATCCGCCACTGCGCCGCGAGGCACGAACTGGTGTAGCCGCATGTCCGTTCGAGCTCTCTGGATTGGGGATTCTGAATACATTTTCCCAACGGTCGTGCGGTGTTGGATCGTCGTTTTGAAGGCACACCTCACATCACCTCTCTCCTCCTCCTCCTCCTCCCTTTTCGAATCCCTGCGTCTGCCCTCCGCATGCACATTTCGGCACATCCCTCATACGCTTCGTGGCCTCATAGGCAATAGGGATCTAGTTTCGCCGAAGCCACCAACAGCTTTGTGTTGCATGCGGTTCTTCACCCATTTCGGCACACCCCATCGTACGCTTCGTGGCTTCATAAAGGGAGTTCCACCAAGGGCCCCAGCAATGTGGTCTTGCATGCGATACCCCACCCATTCCGGCACACACCCCAAACGTTTTGTGGCATCTTAGGAAGCCCCACCAGCGTGGTGTTGCATGCGCTTTTTAATCGACTTCGACACAACCGTCAAACGTTTGGTGGCTCCACAGGGAGCTCCTTCGAAGGCCCTAGCGTGAGATTGCAAGCACGTCCGAACCCATCTCGGCATACCCATCACACGCTTCGTGGCCCAATAGGAGGATTCACAAATAACCGCAACAACATGATGTTGCACGCGGCCCCAATCCATATCGGCACACCCCGCACAGTCTTCGTGGCCCCATCTCCACCGAAGGCCCGAACAGCTTGGTGTTGCATGCGGTTCCCCGTCCATTGCGGTTCACTCCCCGCACATTTCGTGGCCCCATCACGGGGGCCCCACCGAACACCCCAACAGCGTAATGTTGCACGCGCTTCCCCACACATTCCGGCACACGCCTCACACGCTTCGTGGCCCCATAGGGGCCCCACTATGGTCCCAATAGCGTGGTGCTGCATGTGGCTTCACACCCATTTCAGCAAACCTCTCAGATGTTTCGTGGCCCCGTAGGAAGATCCACCGACGGGCCAAAAAGCGTCGTGCTTCATGCGCTTCCCCAACAATTTCGGCACACCCCTCACTGCATGCGGTTCCCCACCCATGTCGGTACACTCTTCACACGACTCGTGGCCCCATAGGCAGCTTCAACGAAGACACCACTGGCGTAGTGTTGCATGCGGCTTCCCCGCATGTCGGCACCCCGATTATATGTTCCGTTGCCCCGTGGGGAGCTCCACCGAAGGTTTTAGCAGCGTGGCCTTACATGCCCATACCCACTCATGTCTGCACACCCCTCACCGAATGCGGTGTCCCACCTATTTCGGCACACACGGAGGCCGCATAGGGAGCCCCGCCGAAGACCCCAACAGCGTGGTGCTGTATGCGGCTCCCCACCCATTCCAGTACACCTCGCACATGTTTCGTGGCCCTGTAGGAAGCTCCATCGACGGGCCAAAAAACGTCGTGTTGCATGCGCTTCCCGACCCACCTCACTAGACTTGGTGCCCCAACCAATCCGGTACACTGCTCACACGTTTCGTGGCCCCATCACGGGGGCCCCACCGAAAACCCCAACAGCGTAATGTTACATGTGCTTCCCACACATTTCGGCACACGCCTCACACGCTTCGTGGCCCCATAGGGGCCCCACCGAAGGCCCCAACAGCGTGGTGTTGCATGCCCATCCCCACTCAGGTCGACACACCCCTCGTGCGCTTCGAGGCTCAGCAAGGAGCTCCACCGAAGGCCCAACAGCGTGCCACAGGGGTTTCGCCCAAGGCCCCAGTAGCAGGGCCCGCATGCGTCCTCGCGCTCATGTCGGCAGACCCTCACGCGCTTCGTGGCCCGTGCCCGCAGAGGGGCACTCACAACTGTACGTGGCTGGGCTCCTCGCCAAGACATGCCCAGATCATCACCATCATCAGCATCGTCATCGTCATCAGAATCATCAGAATCATCAGAATCATCATCATCACCATCATCATCAACATCATCATCATCATCATCATCATCATCGTCATCGTCATCACCGTCGTCATCATCATCATTATCATCATCGTCATCGTCATCATCATCATCATCATCATCATCATCATCATCATCATCATCATCATCATCATAAGTCTCATCATCATCATTATCATCAATAGCGTCATCATCGTCACGTTCATCATCAGCAGCAGCAGCATCATCATCATCACCAGCATCATCATCCTCATCATCATCATCAGCACCATCATCATCATCAGCATCGTCGTCGTCATCATCAGCATCAGCATCATCATCATCACCGTCATCGTCATCATCATCATCATCATCATCATAAGTCTCATCACCATCATCACTATCATTAATAGCATCATCGTCACCTTCATAATCATCATCATCATCATCATCACTGGCATCATCATTATCATCATCGTCATCAGCATGCTCATCGTCATCCGCATCCTCAGCATCGTCCACCCGCTCAGCCTCCTCATCAGATCAACATAATCATCAACACCTTCTCGACACCATCATAATCGTCATCATCATCAATCATCAGAATCGTCAACATCATCAACATCATCATCATCATCATCATCATCATCGTCACCATCATCGCCATCGTCATCATCATCGTCATCATCATAATCATCAACATTGTCAACATCTGCATCGTCATCATCATCATTATCGTCATCACCATTCTCATGTCTATCATCATGACCTATACCATTATCACCATCAACGTCGTAATCATCAATCACGTCCTGGCAGACCCCTTCATCCGCTTCGTGGTCCCATAGGGAGCTCCACCGAGGGTCCCAGTGGCAGCGCCCGCGCGCGCACTCGGCTCCAATTGGACAAGTCCCTGGTGACATCTTGGCACACCCCTCACACGCTTCGAGGCCCCTTTGGAGAATCAACCGAAGGCCCCACTGGCAGGACCCGCATGCGGTCTGGGACTGGTTTTGGCACACATCACGCGCTTCATTGATCCATAGGGAACTCCACCGAACACCTCAGTGGCACCCCCCGCATGCATGCGAGTTTGGGTATACTCCAGCACGCCTCTCACACGTTTCGTGGCCCCAGAGGGAGCTCCACCGAAGGCACCAATGGCAACGCCCGAATGCGCAATCGGGTCCACTGTGGAACAACACCTCACTAATTCCGTGGCCCCACAGGGCGCCCCCCCCCAAAAGCACCAGCGGCAGCGCCCGCATGCGGACTCGGGTCAATTCTGTTTCGCACACGCTCCGTGGCCCCATAAGATTCTCCACCGAAGCCCCTGGTGGCAAGGCTCGCATGGCGTACCCTTCCCCGATTGGGCACACCGCTCTCGCGCTTCGTGACCCTAGAGGGAACTCACCAAAGGCCCCAATGACGGTGTTCACATTGACGTGGCGGATATCGCTGATATCACTCGATGCTTTTGATATGTAGCTAAAACTGGTCAAAGCGCCTAAGCCGAAACATTACAGAGCACACATCATGCACAACGCTGCTGCTACACAATGGATCACGCACACTCCTCCAAATGTACGCTGTACATTTCTGCTGATCTAAACGCTGTTTAAATCTAAAAGGAAGCGGTCCGTCGCTGACGGTCTAAACGTGCCTCTGTCAAATGCCGGCCCGGGGCTCTAAACAGGTTTTGCTGGCTTGCTCAAGTGGCTTTAGTGAAACAACTCTTACGTGAAACAACCTGCTAGCATAAAACGATCGTGAATTCAAGAGAAAGGGATCGAGGATGGAGGGGGAAATCGTCTTTGCATTCCGCCCCAGTGGCGGACAAGTCCCGCAGGCCCAAGTGGCCGCGGCAGTGTCACCGGCTCGGACCTCAACCCAGGTCGAGCCTCACGCGGAGTGCCCCCTTGGGCTCAGCGGGGAGCTCAAGAGGGGGCCCGTAGTATGAAGTATCTCCTTGGGCTCAGCGGGGAGCTCGAAAGGAGGGCCCGTAGTCCTCGATATTGTCACTTACGCGTGTAGGTTGTCCCTGTGAATACATCTCCCTCATAATTGTTCACCGCCACATGCCTGTGGCTCCTGACATAAGTCGTCTGTGACATGGTCATCACATCTCTCACCTTCATGCCCTTGGGTCCGGCCTTCGGCTTCACTGATACAATCTCGGTATCGACTGGCACGAGAATCTCCTCGTCCTGGGTAATCGTCAACACACTCTTGAATCTCATGAAAATCCAAATGATAAGAAACATAGCCAAAGTAAATCCAATTCCACACACAGCACCTCGAAACCACATCATCCAAGAAAATATCCACTGCTCAGAATACTCAAAAGTGTCCACAGCGAACTCTGTGCAACTGACCTCATACTTCGGTACATACTCGTATCCAGCGGCACCCTTTGAAAGAGAGACCATCGTGAGCATCTGGATGAGTTTCTTGGCCCTCGGCGTCGGCGCAGTAAACTTGTAATCGCGGCCGCTCATGAAACTCATAAGGATACCAGCCTCCATGATTTTCGTGAGAGCATCGGCCACCATCGTATGTGTGGGGATCCACCGCAAAACCGAATGAGGCAATCCAAAACTCTCTCGAAGCATGCTCACAACAATGCGTAGCCTCTTGTCGGCGACAACTCCGGCGTCCTTCTCCACGGTCTCCTCCAGGTTCTTGCTGTCCGTGAGCGTCGTCATCGGGATCTTCACCGACTCGCGCTCCACATCCTTCAGCTTCGGCGGTCCGTTGAGAGTCGAGGCAAGGCGCAGCTCGGTGAGCACTTGGCGATACCAGTCGGCATACTCGGAAGCCTCGCTGATGGCGTAGGCCTCGGCACTGAGCGTACTCCGAACAACTCGCTTCGCCCGTCCTGAACACCAAGTGAGAGGTATCATCTCGCTGAACTTCCCAATGGCTACCTCCTCGGGCTTGTGGGTGAGACCTCCAACCAATCCGCGCTGAGAGCGTTCGCCCTCGGCATTCGCAAATGCGGAGTCCCCGTAGAAGAGCAGCTGCGCGTGCAAGACCCTGACCCGATTCCTGA